ATATATATATATATATATATATATATATATATATATATATATATATATATATATATATATATATATATATATATATATATATATATATATATATATATATATATATATATATATATATATATATATATATATATATATATATATATATATATATATATATATATATATATATATATATATATATATATATATATATATATATATATATATATATATATATATATATATATATATATATATATATATATATATATATATATATATATATATATATATATATATATATATATATATATATATATATATATATATATATATATATATATATATATATATATATATATATATATATATATATATATATATATATATATATATATATATATATATATATATATATATATATATATATATATATATATATATATATATATATATATATATATATATATATATATATATATATATATATATATATATATATATATATATATATATATATATATATATATATATATATATATATATATATATATATATATATATATATATATATATATATATATATATATATATATATATATATATATATATATATATATATATATATATATATATATATATATATATATATATATATATATATATATATATATATATATATATATATATATATTTTTTTTTTTTTTTCCAATTTTGCTCTTTTTAAACATTTTAATTCACCATTTTTCGCAGAAAACATATTTCTAGAGGTGTCATTGACTTGAAAATTTCCCCAAATGTTGGTAACAATCAAGCAAACCCATATATGCAAAGAAAACAAAACTCATTAGTTTACTAATGAAGTTATGCTTAATAAAATTAAATGATGCAGGGAAAAAGTATTGAACACATGAAGAAAGAAAAGTGTAGTTCAGCAGGGAAAGCCCAGACAGCAGCTGAAATCTCTCAGTAGTTCTTCAGTAATCCTCTGCCCTTCCTCAGTGTGAAAGAACATCAGCTGCTTCAGTCCAACATCTACATTAGCAGGAGGATGAACCTTCTAAAACCTTCGTTGCAGCATATTTATAAACGCAACACTGACGACCCGTAACTCCAAACTATTTTTCTTCTCCCAATTGTTTTGGTAACACAACGTGGCGTCTCTCTGGCGTCTGAACACACTCTATCAGGTAAAAACAGTCTTCGAAGCTATCATGCATATTAATGAAGGTACACCACATACACAATAGAGGGCGCTGATTGGTTTGAACCAAGCCTTTTTCATGAATTAATGCTAAAAGCTCAAACGTGTCACATTGTACCCCCAGGTACAGACGTCCAGTCTACACGCTGGAATACACACAAGAATCTAATCGACATGATGCAGCTTAAAAAATTTGTTACAAGCTGGACGACCGAATTTGCTCAAAATAACGCAAAAACAACCAATTTTCACATTTTTGCTAAGTATATGTGTCATAATAGTGTTTAGCAGTGTGGGACACATATATGACTGTCAGCAGCTCAAAAAATGTTTTGGTGTTTCGTAACGTTTTAAGGCTCGTACACACCGGGACGCTTTTCGTTTGCGTTTTATTGTCAGCGTTTTTCAAGACATTTTCCAAATTTTTCCAGACTTTTTTTTTAAATGACGCTTTTACGCCTGACGTTTTGTGCGTTGGTGTGCACAATCACTTTGACAACTTTAATTTAGTCACGAGGCGTTAAACGTCGACAGAAAATGCGAGCAGAAAGTGTCTCGGTGTGCACGGGACTTTAAGCTGCAGCATCAAAAAAGCCTTTCATATAAAGAATTAAAGAGCCCTTATTATACATGAAATAGGGTCATATTTGGGTTGTAAGGGTCTCCAACAACAGTCTAATATGCATGCAAGGTCAAAAAACACTTTCATGGTCTTATAATCTGCATTTATTTTTAACTAAATATCCCAGCGACTCCCGTATGAATAGTCCAGTGATTCATTTGTTCCCAAACCCCCCCTTAGCACGAAGCTAATCTGCGCTGATTGGGTCGATGAAAGCCTGCTGCTATTGGTCGACACTGACAGCCTTCAGCACGAGACAGAGTGAAATGCCCAGCAGCTAATCAATAATATAAAAGTAGTCACAATGCATACACGCTTCATAGTGTAAGGTGGGTGCATGTAAATACAGACGATGGACTTGAAAATACAGACGACTGACTATTTTATTGAGCAAAAACTCCAAGAACTGGCGAGGAGATCTCCTAGCTTGTCACATTCTGCTCTTTTCACAGACACACACACACACACACATATTACCCTCGGAGGAGGAGGACACCGCACACACATACACACATTACCCTCCTCCATGGAGGTCCGTAAACAAAGCGGCACGCGTCGCGTTTTTAACATGGCTTTACACGTGATTAGAGAATATAGCGAGTTAACCTGATACAGTACACGCGGTTACAAGTAACAAATCACAACTAAATACATTTGCAAGCTGGAGAAAACGAGGCTTCAACTTTAATCGCACGGACTTACACTTGGGAAATGGAGGAAGAAACCCATCCAGGTGCTGACATGTCCATCAGTACTCTTTACTGATCCTTCTTTAACAAACGGCAGATGAGGTCTTCTGTGTAGCATGTAGTTTCCAGAAGCACTCCAACTGCTCAAGGCTGGGCTATAATGCTGAGGTTTCATCTTTGGGTAGAGACTCAATAATATCCATCTGCACATTTCCACTTAATTTGACCGGCGTGTGTGTGTTTGTGTGTGTGTCTGTGTGTGTGTGTGGCTTTTTCTGTGTCAGAGGGCAGGGCCGCAGGTTTGAAATCTCCCGGGTTTGCGCGCACAACTACTTGGTTTCGTTGTCACGTCATATTGAAACACCTAATGACTCGTTATCAAGGCGACTCGTTTGAAGCACTATGAGTCGACTCTTTTATAGATGAATCAACAGTTTTAAACACTGTACTCTCACAGATTTAAGCCTTAGCTGGATACTTCACTTCTCTTAGAGCTGTGTTACACACTACATGGAGGGGCATTTTCAAAAACCCATAATATGAGCTCTTTAAACGACAGAGATAAAGTATTGTTTATTCGTAAGTCTTATGATTTGTCAGTCACTATACTTGTGTATGTTAACAAATAAATACAAATGAATTATAATTCCTAAAATTATATTATAGTTCCTGAAAATTTGGGTCGCGGCTTGATGACCATGTAAAAATGTGGGTCCCGTGGCCAAACCAGTTATACAGATATCATTCCCCAGAAAAAACTTGACAGTGTGTTCAATACTTATTTCCCCGCTGTAGATATTATATTTAGATTTCTCTCCATTCTCTCTGACATTGATTGTTAAATGCACATTTTTACTATACTTATTGATTGTTCATGTGGTGTGAGTGAGCTGGCAAAAGCACTAATGCTGCTAATGAACACAGCTAGTGGATACCATAGACTGTAAAATATATGGACGTAGTATCCGTGACGTCACCCACTGGTTTCTGAAGAGCGCAAAAGAAGCCACAAGTAGGCGCGGCCAACCGTCGCCATTTTGGTCACGCGTCATCACACCCACGGCGGGATACCAAACAAGGGCAAAGAGGCGGAGAGTGGGCGGAGCTACAGACACCTGCTAGCATTTAGCTTGGACCTGGTTCAGACACACTTTACTTTGGGAGAACGCTTAATACTTTATCACCTGCGACTCGTTTGTGTTCTGACCACTTGTGCTTGGCTGTACACTATATCAATAAAGTGTTTAGACTTTTAAAAACACTGCTGTAATACATTGAGCCACTAAACACTGTTCTTATGACGTTTTTCAACAGGAGGAAAACGCGAATTACTTCCAAACACTTCAGATATAGTCTATGTTAGTTACTGTAAGACTATTGATGAACTCCAGCATAACACTGTATGACAACGCTTCAGATGACTGATCTAGAGCCTACAGCTAATCAATCTGACAGATTCTGGAGTGCATTACAGCTCTAAATATAAATATAAACGATAAATGATCTTGAATAAAACAAATACATGTATAGAGATGGTATATAAGTATATAACTTTACTCGCATGGGAAACGGAGGCCACGTGAATGGTTTGTGAGCACAATTAAGTGCACTCAGCACCCCATGCCATCTAATAATTGTAGGAAACAAGTCCAAAATGCAGTCGACTGTGTAAAGCCACATAAAACAACACAGAAATACGATAAATATGCCGAGTTCAGTGGCTAATCTGCAGGATTCAGCTGAGGTGACGGCGACCAGCAAGACCTAGCTGTCACTCAAATGGCCACGCCCTTAATTATGCAAACTTAATATAACTTAATATAAAGGAAACGGATGAGTTATAAATAAATTCACCCCCCTCACAGTTGTCATGAAGGATAATATTAGCTGTATTAACCAAAATCTTTTTTTGTAGCAGGCTGTAAACACCTTTATTCTGCTGTAAAGTTGGCCATTCTAACAGTGGGCTCAATTGAAATTTGCTCTGTTTTGGAGCAGGAGCAGCCAGGACTAGCGGAATTTCAGATGAATTGCAGTTTTAGTTACTTCCGTATTGGCTTCCTGAGGGAGAGCCGGAGGTTGCCGCTTGGTGGATGCTGTGAGGTTGTGAATGTTGAAGTATGTCTCAGTGTAAGAGAAAATCCTTTTCAGGGATGCTGAATATTGCCTCTGTGTGTTCAGTCAGACCCGTTTGCAGCTTCATTGACAGCAGTGCTGCTTTCTGCTTTCATCTGTGTGTGAGGCTGATCTGTGTGTGTGTGTTCATCATCAAGTGTGACCGCATGTGTGTGTGTGTTTTTTCAGACCACAGAGCATCCGAACCCTGGGAAAAAGTACAGCGCGAGAGGATTTCCTCGACACTGTTATTTACCAGACAATGAGAAAGGACGCAAGGTGAGGTGTTGAAGATCTCATATCAGTCACTGTACTGTCAATAAAATCATTTATTTTTTAATTTAACAATTGATTTGGAGATATTGGACCTTATTGTACACCCGACGCAATAAGGCGCAGGACGTGTTTGGTGTGATCTGTTGCTGTTTTCAGACCAGCGAAACAGTAATTTCCTGTTTTGCGCCACTTGGTTTAAATAAATGCATTTGTGCCACTCTGTGGACTCATGGGTGTGCTGGTCTATAAAGGAGGTGTGTTAAGGCACAAAAACACCACTGCCTCCATGCCTTCTTCACCTCGGTGGGCTTTTTCAGTTTATTCATGACAATCTGCAATGTATAATGTTATTATTATTTGCAGTATTATTTATTTCCTGCAGATTTATATTTGTTTTTGTTTTTTTTAAACTAGTGTAGATTTGTCCACCTGTGGGGTTTTGGAGACGTCTGCATTACCATATGGGCCATAAGAACAGGACGTGTGTTTGGATATAACTTTTTTAGAGATTTATTTCTTCGCTAGAGATTAGAACTGAATTTAGCAAATCTTTGTACTTAAATTGAATTAAATATGTCTGCTAATGGAGGTGTTTAGTGGAGTGTTTCCACCGTTTCCTCACCAAAATAAAGGAGAAAAGTAAAGAGTAAAAGTAAAGAGAAAGAGGCTGAATGAAGGAGGCTTGTTCTTTATCCTCGCGCTGCAGATGCTCTGTTTAACTGTTTTCTTGCTAGTGAAGCGTTCAGTTTTTACACTTAGGAAGTCCACCATTTAAATGGCAAATGCATCATGGAGCAATGCAACTGACTCTTAAGGGCATCACACACCAGATGTGCCGGTCAGTGCTGCAACACGGTGCGCACATGACAGTTGAAAGTATGGCACAGCAGACGCGCACATTTGCATGTTATTTAAAATCAAACTATTCAGATGTCGCTCTGTGGCGTGGCAGAATAATGAACAGTGTTCTGAGTCTTGGCTGGGTGTCGCTACTTGTGGAGCGGTGCTTCTGGTGTGTGACCCTCTTTAAAGGAAATGAGAGATGAGACTCTGATTGGTTTAATGCATGTTATGTTCAAAACACACCCAGAACTCATTAAGAGAGTAAGCACAACCCTGTTAGACCATGAGCCGGGGCGCAGAGCGTATTTCTGTCCTTAAAATAGCAACAAAAAAAAAAACATGTGCTATAAGGGAATTGATTAACTAATTTGGCCGTAGTGTACATGTGTGTGTGTGTGTGTGTGTGTGTACATCCTACTTCACCCAACCCTCCGATCTGGTATCGAACCGGCGACCTTCCACATGGGAGTCAGTTGCTCTAACAAGGAGGCTAAAGACCATGGCCTCTAGCGTCTGTCGCTAGAGCATCTTTAAAGGTCAGAGGAGTGAGGTTTACCTGCACAGCACTTACTAGCTGGCCTCCGTTACACTCACCCCCCTAACCTCACTTCCATCCGGGTCACAGCACCAATATAACCATGACCCTACGCCACCCAACCCCCTCCGATCTGGTATCGAACCAGCGACCTTCCGCATAGGAGTCAGTTGCTCTAACAAGGAGGCTAAAGACCATGGCCTCTAGCGTGTGTCGCCAAAACACCTTTAGAGGTCAGAGGAGTGAGGTTTACCCCTGCACAGCACTTACTAGCTGGTGGGTGTTTTCCAGTACTTAATTGCAGCTGGAAGGGCATCCGCTGTGTAAAATATATGCTGGAATAGTTGGCAGTTCATTCCGTTTACCAGCAATTTTCCGGAAAGGTCTGTATGTGTGAACAGGCCCTTTTTGAAAATACCGGTAAATTTGTTTCGGCCATTTTCCGGAAAGAGAAGTTGTAACATTACTGGTAATTTGCTGAAATGCTGCTCTGCGTGAACGCAGAAGTGTGGTTTATTTATAAACTAATTTCGAGAGGATCACATGCTTATGATTGAACACAGCTGGTACCTCATCAGCTCCGTATATTGGGGGAGCCCCAGGCTCAAGGATATTCTGAGCTCAGGGCTCTCTCTCGGGTCAGCATGCCAAATACGCTTTATTATCAATCATCAGCTAAGTGTGAACTCTTAATAGAGAACGTGCTGACGTGAGACGTCTACTTTAGCCAATCAGAACAGTCAGACACATTCACGTACGCGCTGCTTATGAAAATAAAAGCCTTTGAATATTTTTCCAGACACATTTGGTTGCTGGATGTTAGACAGATAACATTTATATGTTCCTTAATGCCAACTGTAAATAATTATCCATAAGATGCTTATGATTAGCTGTTTGTTTACCTTTAAGCTCAGCTTCCTTCAGTTGATTGGTGCGTCGCATGTGCACGTAAAGCAGACGGTGATCGCCAGCACACACATATTATGAACATCTCTACATACGAAAGTGTTTCTCTATATGTTTACATTGAAGTTATTTACAATACTGATCATCCACAGAGTTTGTAATGTAGTCAAATGTTTACAAACACAAGCGCTGCCGTTTAGAGCTCATTCTTGGAAAATGATGTCAGAATTTACCGGTATTTTGGAATGGATGTGTGAATAACCTTTTCCGGAAAAATTCCGTAACGTCCTCGCCTGTGTAAACAGCACTTTTTTCAATTTACCGGTAAAGTCGTTCTGGAAATTGTCCATATATATACCGGTATCACTGTGTAAAAGGGGCTATTAAATTTACTATAACAGCTTACTTGCAAGGGCGAGGCAGTGGCGCAGTAGGTAGTGGTGTCGCCTCACAGCAAGAAGGTCGATGGTTCGAACCTCGGCTCAGTTGGTGTTTTTGTGTGGAGTTTGCATGTTCTCCCTGCCTTCGCGTGGGTTTCCTCTGGGTGCTCCGGTTTCCCCCACAGTCCAAAGACATGCGGTAGAGGTGAATTGGGTAGGCTAAATTGTCCGTAGTGTGTGTGTATGGATGTTTCCCAGAGATGGGTTGCGGCTGGAAGGGCTTTGCTGCGTAAAAACTTGCTGGATAAGTTGGCGGTTCATTCCGCTGTGGCGACCCCGGATTAATAAAGGGACTAAGCCGACAAGAAAATGAATGAATGAATGAACTTCCTTGCAATTTTGTTTGCTAGTAAAACTATAAAATTACAAGCACACTGTAAATTAATAACTACAATTAATGGTCAAATTTACAGTAGCTCACTGCCAGTTTTGGTTCTCAAGTGTAATGAATCAATATTTTCTGTTAATATTTCACAGCTTCTCTCTTGACTCTCCCTCATGTCTTCCTCTTTCCCCTCCCGCAGGTGTTGAAGCTGTTGATCACGGCGTGGGACCGTCGGCTGATCTTCACCATCGGGACGTCCAGCACCACAGGCGAGTCCGACACCGTCGTCTGGAACGAGATTCACCACAAGACGGAGTTCGGTTCCAACCTGACGGGACACGGATACCCCGACCCCAAATACCTGGACAACGTGATGAGAGAGCTGGAGGCACAGGGAGTAGGAGAGGACAACCTGAAAGACTGACACACTGACTGACTGACACACACAAACAGAAGCATGCACACACACATGTAGACACACACAAAGAGAGAGAGAGCCACACACACAGAATCACACAGACACAGAGAAGCACACACACACATGTGGAAACACTAACATGGAAACACAGACAGACAGACACACACACATGGACACACACACAGACACCAATACAGTACCAAATGCACACAGACAGACACACACATGCATAGACAGATACACACACACACTCAGACACCAATATAGCACCAAATGCACACACACAGAGACACCAACAGACATACACACACGCAGAAACACACATCGGTACTAGTGGTTTACAAGGACTCTCCATAGGTGTAATGTATTTTATACAGTAAAACAAGCTGATGATATGGCCTTACCCCAGCCCTGACCTAAACCCAACTCTCACAGCAAACCTCTGAACAATTTCAATCTCAAAAGACACATTATACATGATTTCCAAGTGTTTTGAATTATGGGGACACAAGGCAGTGTCCTCACAAACCACCTGAATAGTACAACTAGCTACATCCATGACGTTATACACATTCCAGTCCTTGTAGACCACCAAAACCAGCACACACACAGCTTCCCCACAATGCAGCTGTGCTCCGAGCAGTGTACATATACAGAGCTTTAGCGCTTAACCGCTGGGGTTTCTCAAAAAGTCTCCACAGATCCAGAGATGACATGTGTGAGATCTCAGTTTAATGCCGCGCTCCGTGAA